AGAAAATCAATACAATCTAACCCAGAAGCCTACTACTTTGAGTTAGAATTCTACTATATGATTAGATATATTCAGCAAGTAATTGGCCATCTGATGCAATAATATACCATGCATCTATTCAGATTCTGGCAATATGTTACCTTTCTTCCTAACTTTTTACTTCTAAATTGTTTTATTTTGATTTGTAAAAGAAAGAAACAATTTGAATTTAGTAAAGATAAATTAGAAATTATAGGAAGGAAGAATGCCAAGAATTACACCCCCTGCTTTTAACTTTTGATAACATTTTATTGCACTCTTTCTTGGGTTTTTCTGTGTGTCTTTATGTGCACATATTTCTTAACAGATCATGCAATGTACACAGACTGCTTTTAATTTTAGTTTTTAAACTTACCTTTATTTCAAAAACTTTTTACTATTTTATAAATTTTATCAATGTTTTTATATCTTGTTGGATATGATTTTAAATTCATTTTTAATTTAAATGTACTATAATTTATTTAAATTGTCCCTTATTATTACTTTGTGTGTATGCTATTTTCTATTACAAATATTTACTATTATAAATGTTTGCAATTTATTATTATATTATTACAAATGGAGCAAGATTACATCGCCAAGTGTCAAGCCAGTTATTCTCAATGTCTTTCCCTCTTCTCCTCTCTGACTTTTACCCTGATGCCATTTTCTCTACCTCAGACTACACTGAAGGTTAAACAGTGATTCATATAACCCTGAATATGTTTTCAGGGCTGTTTTCCTTCCCACATAATGACTATACAAAATTTAGTCTAGAAGAATGGGAAGAAGAGGCAAAGTGGCAACCCAAGTCCAAGGAAGAAAGAAGACAGTCTAGAGGAGCAGAGGGTACACTAATTGGGAAGAGAAAGGGAAAACAGTTCTATCTTTTTTAAGTATAGTTAATATACAATATTATATAGGTTATATTCATTTCAGGCGTACAATATGATTTGACATTTCTATATCTTACAATGTGATCACTCCATTAATTCTAGTAATCATCTTTCACCATGTAAACCTATCATGATGCTATTGACTATATTCTTTCACCTTTTTCACCCTTTTCCCTACCCCTTCCCTTTTAGTAACCATCCCTTTTGTCACTGTTTCTATGAGTCTGTATTTGTTTTGGAAAACTATTGACACAGGGCCAGGAAGCTGAGTGGAAGAATACACAGACAAGCAGTCCTAGAAGGAGGAAGGCCCCCAAATTCAGTCAACAGTCCTAGGATCTTGAAACATTCTTGTTTAGAGAGTAGGACTTAGATCTGCTGGGGGATGGAGGTGGGGTGATGATGTCATGAAAGGTGAGCCTCTCACCTTGATCTGGGCAAAACTAAACTTTTTTTTGGGAGTTGGGTAGCAGTCGGCTGTCAGCATTACAAGTTGTACATATATTTTTTAATTTCTAAAATTATACTGAGTCATTTTCTTTGACTGAACTCAGTTATTACCTCAGGGATAGAAGTAATGGGCCTTTTAGAAGGCTGAATGATATCACCAAAGTACTCTCCAAAAATGTGGTAACAATTTGCTTTCTCATTATGAATATCATACTTTGATGTCTATTTGTAAGTCATTTGAGGCTATTTTAACTACTTGAGTTATTTTAGGAAAAATTAATTTTAAGCTAACTTAGATCAACGTGAATTTGAAAAAAATCTGATGACTACTGAGAAAAATTATTGTTTTGCTCCAGTCATATTGCAGATGTTTCCATAAAACTGGATGATGACTTTGCTTGCAAAAGACATTTAAAATATCATATGCAGCCATATGTTCTAAATGTAACAGATTACCGCTATATGCATGAGTTAAGGAACACTGTTGTGTAATTTGAGAGAACATTTGAAATACATGAATTTCAGAAATTCATATTACAGACATGTTCATATTTCAATGACAGAGAAATAGGAAAATATATAGCTCGTGATTGGAGTATAATCAGTTTGGTAGGACACTAAGCCATATTAAAACCTGGTCCTATATCCAAAGGTATATTCAGATTCACTGATATCCCCCTAAGAAGTCCTTGTTGGAGAGGAAGGACCACAAACGATGCACAGATAGAGAACAGCATCTGGGTAAATTCACCACTCCAATATTTGAGGAAGAATCATATGCATGGCCTCTGGGGGGCTCACTTCTGAACTGTGAGTAGATTGTGATTCTGCTGATCCCTTAATTTTGATATTTTATTCATCGTGGACTTTTTGAATTAATTTTGATTTTTAAGACTTTTTATTAAAATATTATGTTCATTACTGAGTTTTTTGGCACTCCTTAGGTTTGCAATGGAGGTGAGTGAAACACCTTACTCCTGGCTCAGTGTACTTGCCCCAAATACTCTTCTTTCCTTCTCTGCTCAAGACAGCAGGATACGCATGTGGCCACCAAAAAAAATCAGAAGTTCCTATTATATTCTCAAACCATACCTTTCCTCCACGGACTGTTTTTCATGTTTCTGAAGGCTTCCTTCTTTCTTACCTCACCATCACCAAAATGCCTGACATCTAACATACAGTAAACATTCAATAAATCTTTGATGAGAACATAAGTGAATAAACAGAAGAGTCCAAACAATAAATAGGGATACTCAGACGGTGAGTTTTTCATCATTCACTTAATAACTGTTCAAGAGGAACCAAGTATTAAATGGCTGCTGATAAAAAATAAACTTTACATAGTCTTCCAACAACGGGTATTTTAAAAATGAAACTGCTATATCATGAGAACTAATTAGTTTCTAGTGATAATAATGTGTCTCCTCCTCTTCCTTACAATATTAACAAAAACATAATGCTTAACTTAAAGTGCATCTTGTTTGATTTTTATCTTATAATGATCCTGTGAGAAATCAGAAAAGGTAATAATAATTTCTATATTACAGATAAGGAAGGTACGACTTGGTGGGTTTAATAAACTTCATCAAAGTCACTCAACTTATTTAAATGGTGGAGCCAGGATTATAACCTAGATAACCTGATTCTAGGTTCATGCTCTTAACCACTACACTTCACCATATTGATCACTCTTTTTCCACCCACGTTCTTTGACCCCTTGGCCTAAATGAGCAAGATGTACTTCTAAAACCTTGCAAGTCTCACTCTACTTTTAACGGATAAGTATTTAAGACATAAAGAATCTTTCAAAAATCTCCTCTACTAAACTGCAGTATTACACTGTTGTTTTGTAAGACATAGGGTGTCACGAAGAGCAAGCTCAAAGCTCCTCTGCTTTCAGTGCCCAGATGTGCTTATCAATTTGCTCCCGGACCTGTTCATACCAGTTTTATTTATTATTGTAGTTATTTAATTTAACTAAAATTGTTTAAAATGATAAAGGATGAGTACGAAAAGAAAATTGCTTTAAAATTATGAAAGCTAATTTAAAAAATTCTGGTGATGTTTTTCCAAAACGATTACTGTTGAATTAGATGTGTCTGCGACAGTGGTAAAATTAGAGGGAAAAGAAGAGACATAAAAGTCTAAAAAGATTCTATATTCGGGTTGCTTTGTAAATATATGCTTTAGCTCCACATTAAATAAATCAAAAACGTAAATCATAAATGCTTTGTTATGGATGTGGTTTATACAAAAAAAATAAAAACACCTGAGAATCCCAACCAGAAAATCACATTTATAGGGAAGGACTTGGTACTACATCAAAAACTGGCAGAAGTTTCTGTAATTTTTATTTATGATTTAGGATACTTTGAAGCTATTTAAGTTACTATCTTTAAAACAAATAGTTCAAAAAAAAAAAAACAAAAACCTGTTACTAATTCCAATATTTAGTTGTCAAGGTACTTCTATTCCAGAAATATTTTCACTTTTATTCTAGAGACATTTGCATTTCAATCGCAATTTCCAGAAACAGAAAAACAAGGAATTTCTCATAGAATGTCAATCCTAGCAAAAAAGAATGAGACAATTTTAGGATCTGAAGCTTTGTGTTACAATGAAGCACTAACAGAAAAGTGGTCATCCCTTGCATGAGGCTAGCCCCTGCTATCTCACAGTCTCAAGAAATTTCTTTTCTTACTTACAGTGCAGCTGTGATGCAGTGCAGTTGGTCCTGGCAAACAGAGGTTGGTAGCAGATTTTTGGACAGCTTACTATATCAAAATGACATCCATTCCCTTGTTTTTCTTCTGTATTAAATCTTAACCAAAAATAACATTAGGCTTGCAATGTGTCAAAATGCTAAATTATTATTAACATATGTAAAAATATAATAATAAATGTTCTCGAGAATCATTGCACAGGTGATTGCTAAGGATTAAAAAGTAAAACAGTTCCTACTTAAAGGTGCTCACAGATTAGTAGGAATCAACTCGTGTGCTGAAATAATGAATTTTAACACAGCAAAATATAACCATAATTCTTTCGTAGTTTATTCATTTCCCTTTTTTCAGTTTAATCCAAGTATATTCTTCTTTTTGAAAAATTATCATTAAACAAATTATATATCAATTAGCATACAGAAATATGGCATTATTTTCTCAAAGATTAGCAGTGATCTTTTGAGTGATGCTTGCCTTATCTTAAAAGCAAGCACGTATTATCAAAAAAAAAAAAGCTAGAACGGTAGTTTCAATAATACAGAAAAGACGTGATGAGCCATACACAAATGAAATCATTAAAGTTAGCCAAGAGCTAGAAACTCCCGTTCAGAACGTTCTTAAATGACTTCTGGCAAAACTGTTGCCTGGGTCCAAGATGCAAACGAAAGTGGCAGCAACTCCGGTTTAAAGGTTTCATTCCTACCCGCCAGACCTACGGAAAACCTATTGGCTCCGAAGTTTCTCCTTTCGTCTACAAACGCTCCCGACCACGAAAAACTAAGTTGGAGAAACCATCTGATTGGCTAAGTAATGGATGACGTAAGTTTCCCAAGCCCACTGAGAATCGGCCTCCCGAAGACTGGCTCAGATTCCGCCTTCCGATTGGTCCTTAAGGCAAGAGGGTAGGGGCAATTGCTGAAGTTGACCTCTGGGGTCGAAACCGTGGTCAAAAATGGCGGCGGCCAGGTGTTGGAGGTTTGCGCGCCGCAGTCCGGGGCTGTCATTGCACACCGCGGCCGAGGCCGCCGTCGGGGCTCCTGAAATACCCGGTCCAGATGTCGCGGCGGCCCCCATCGCTCGCTACCCGCCGATTGTGGCCTCCCTGACTGCCAAAAGCAATGCGGCCCGGCAGCGGCGAGTAGAGAAGTGGCAGGCGACGGTTCACGCGGCCGAGTCTGTGGACGAGAAGATGCGTATCCTCACCAAGATGCAGTTCATGAAGTACGTTGTTTACCCGCAGACCTTCGCCCTGAACGCCGACCGCTGGTATCAGGGCTTCACCAAGACCGTGTTCCTATCGGGTCTGCCTCCGCCACCCGCGGAGACAGAGCCCGCGCCCGCCCTGGACCTAGCGGCCCTGCGCGCCGCCGCTTGTGACTGCCTCTTGCAGGAGCACTTCTACCTGCGGCGCAAGCGGCGATTGCCCATCTACCAGGAACGTGAGGCCATCGCCTCCCCCTTACTCGACCAGCTGGTGGCCACCCTCATGGGCCTGCTCAGCGCACACAACCCCGTCCTGGCTGCCGCCGCCCTCGGTAAGCCTTGAGCCTCCCACGCCGGGCAGGGTAGGTGGGGATTGTAGGGGCCCACTCCGAAACAGACTTGTCTCCTATTCATTCTCTCTTTTGTCAGTTTTTTTCTCAGTTCTTTGACTCCTAGTTGAGGACAACGTGGTTTAGTAGCGGTCACTGCGCGAGGAATATGGAGACTGGGTTGTCGCACCTGTAACTGCAACTCTAGGCTAGTAGCCTAAAGACTCCAGGACTTCAGTCCTTGACTCTGCTTTGTGAAGGCGCAGCCAAATGGAAGAGCAGTGTTGGTTAAGAGAAGGGGCTCTTAGAGAGTGGGACAGACCTAGGATGCCTTTTTGGCACTTGCACCAAAAAGTTACGTGACCATATGTCAATTCATTAACATTTCTCATTTTCAAAATGAGAATTACGATAATAGTATTTCATTATGAAATTGTTGAGATTAAAGGTGATATTGATTAAAATACCTAACATTTATTCAGTACTTTGTGCCTGGCCCAGTTCTAAATCTTATTTATGCCAACTAATCTCACAATAACTGTTTACAGTAGGTAGCATTGTTTTATAAATGGTAAAAATAAAAAACAAAAAACCGAAGGCACAGAAACCTAAAATGTATCTAGTCAAAAGAGCCTGTAGCTGATAGATTTGGCTGTCAGGATTCAAACTCAGTCAATCTGGGTTCCCAGTTAACAATCAGTAACCTCTCTTTAATGGATAGACAGTTAAAAATTAGTGTTTCTGACATATTCATCATTTTATATCTACCACCCAGTAGGCATCTTAATAAGTATTTATTGAATCGATGTTATTATAACTCGAGATATGTGCTCAACTGAGTCTTACAGTGTCATTGTTACTTCCTCTCACTTGAGAAGGAAGTGATCTTGAAGGAAGCATCATAGACTTTGACTGCTCCTGATTGATGGCCTGTTTAACTAAATTAACCAGTTAGTTAACTAGAAAACTAAGTTAACCATGTCAACTCAGGTTCCTCTTCTGTAAAAAGGAGACGATGACAATTATTTATACTTTTCAGTTATTGTGAAGGTCAAATTAGTAATTTATAAGACAGTTCTGACTCTATTTAAACTTTTTATTTCTGGTAACATTCCTGTTCTCTTAACTGAGAAAATTCTTTGGTAGTGACGGTACAAGTAGACAATAAATGTTTGGTACAAATAGTGATGGTACAAGTAGACAATAAATGTTTGCGTGTTATATTTATGTCATGATCATTTAAGTTAAATGAGCACCTACCTCCTACTCTATGGAGTATTTTCTGATATATTTTTATATCAGAAAGTATTTTCTGATATATTTTTAATTAGTACAATCATTCTTGAGTTCTGTATTGCTGAGGTTAGTACTCTCGTAATAATCAAATTTAAATGATCAGATAAGAAAATTTTGAATATCTTTTGGTAGATTGTAAACGCCCAGTTCACTTTTACTGGTTACGTGGTGAAGAAATTATTCCTCGTGGTCATAGGAAAGGTCGAATTGATGCCTTGCGATACCAAATAAACGATAAACCGCACAACCAGATCCGAATATCCAAACAACTCCCAGAGGTAAGGATTTATTTATTTATTGCATATGTACCTATTGATGTGTGATGAGGAAATGTCATAGGCACACTAGGTAATGGGCTAGGTGCGTTAAATAGTGTTGGTTGAATACTTGCCTTTTGAGTTTCTTTCAAATACATCCATCTGAAATTCTTTTAAACTTTTTTAGTCTGCTATGGTGTACATATTCCCCGAAGGTCAAATAATCATTTTAAGTGGGTAAGTGGGGTTAAGTCATCAGTTTTCAGGGACATACGAATCTTTTCTTTTTCTTACTATAAAAATATAAAAAACTGATAATAGTTTATGAGTATAATTTATAATACCTACACTACCTTTTCACAAGTCGAGGCATTTTTCTAGTTATAAGCTGGTCATGTTACATACATACAGTTCTTTTGGAGAAAAAAAGTATATTTTGAGTGTTGTCTGTGTGTCCATGTCAGAGGTTGGCACATTTTTTTTGGTAAAAATCCACATAGTAAATATTTTAAGATTTGGGGGGCCATAAGTCTATGTTGCAATTATTGATCTCAGTTTTTAAGTATAAAAGTAGCCATGTACCACCTGTAAATGAATGTGCATGGCTGTGTTCCAATAAAACTTTACAAAAACAAGTGACTGGCTAAATTTGATTCATCATTAGATAGTAGTGTTATCAAATCATTTTGTAAAAACATCCTATTTTAAGATTTTTAAACCTATTATGAGTAAAATTTGTATTAGTGCTGCTGTGAATTCACTTATGACTTTTTCTTTAAGTTTGTGCCGCTGGATTATTCTGTACCTATAGAAACCCCTGTTATGAATTGTAAGCCAGACAAACTTCCTTTATTCAAACGACAGTATGAAAATACCATATTTATTGGTAAGTTTATCATTTGATATATTGTACTATAAATGTGTCTAAAGTGCCTTGTGCAGATTTGCAAATTAATTCTTGATGACTAAGGTTCAGGTAGTCTATGAGCAATATAATTTGTAATCTCAGGTTGCAGTATGCATGAAAATTGGAAAGAAAATATTCTTTCAGCTCACCATTTAAAATTTTACTATTTCTACTGAGTTAGCAGTATTTAAATTTAAAAATAAATAGTTACACTTGTTAGACTTTGTTGATTTATTATATAGAAAAAGTAATTTGTTTTTTCAGAAGTAAACAAGTATAGAACTGGAATTGAGGCAGTGATTGGCTTTTTTACAAAAGCCTGCCGTTTATATCACGCTCTGTGATAATCATCACAAATATAAAAATTAATAAGGCCTGATTCCTGCCCTTATGCAGTTTATTCTTTTGCTAATTTTTCTTTGTCTATTAATCACTAGCCAACTTCCAGAAGATTTTAAGGAATAAGCTTTATATTAGTCTACCAGACCTCCTCTCCGTCACTGTAGCCTTAGAATTATAAGGAACTTTTGACTTTACCACTGAAGTCAAGAATATCAACATTTTATAAAATATTGACCCTTGTTTTCTTTACTTAGCAGCATCATATAAAAGTCAATTATTTTTTAAATTGAGAAGGTATGTAATTATTACATTAAATAACATAGTTTTTAAAGTTAGAAGTGTTTGTATCCTTTGGCAAAACGACAAGAATAACAAAGCTCCTTATAATGGGTTTGAAAAAACTGAAATAATATGGAATTTTAAATTAGTTTTATGTATATTCTTTTGACTTATCATATGTCAGATTGGGCTTTATGATAGCTAGCAGACTGTACTTTCACGTGAAATTTACCTTTATTATAATCAAGTCAATAAATAAACCAACCTTCCCTTGTATATTTTGAATACTAATCACACGATATGTAGAGGAGAAAGATGGGTTTAAAACAAATACTAAAAATGTTCTCCAGATGTGCTACATGTTCATTTCACATTTTTATTTTGCTCTTCAGGCTCAAAGACAGCAGATCCATACTGTTATGGTCATACCCAGTTTCATCTGTTACCTGACAAATTAAAAAGGGAAAGGCTATTGAAACAAAACTGTGCTGATCAGATAGAAGTTGTTTTTAGAGCTAATGCTATTGCAAGCCTTTTTGCGTGGACTGGAGCACAAGCTATGTATCAAGGTAAAATAATGGTGTGTTCTTGGAAGATATCTGACATTTTTAAGAAAATAGTTCAAATTGTTTTTATCTGTTAAAATGTAGGTGGAATCTTAACATTTTGAAAATTTTTACATTGGCACAAAATATAGTTGTTTTAAAATCCATAATGAAATATTTTACATTTGTAGTTGGCAGGTGGCACTTAGGTAGTTACTTTGATCTTTTATGTTGATCACTTTTGTTTGAGAGTGTTTTTTTTTTCTGACTGTGTTTTCAAGTATTTTAAAGACTATATAGCTAACTAAATCAACACTGTAGATGATAGTAGCTTTCTGAAGCCAGAAAAGGAAATGCTTTGGTGGATTAAATTTTAAGTTAAATCACAGCTATCCTTTATAATTTTTTGAAGGCCATATCCAGGATGTGGATTAGGCGATTGGTCATTCATTCAGTAAATAGTGAATGTTTTTTGTGTACAAGCACTGTTGGCCTTGGAGACCCATGTTCAATGAGATAGGCAGATCCTCCTCTCCTGGAACTTATGTTATAGTGAGGAGAGTAAAGGATAATAAGCATGCAATATTTTAGGTATTGGTAATACTATGAAGAAAATACACTAGAAAGGGGTAGAATGATTTATAGTGTGCAGGTGTAAATGGGATATGGGGCAGAATCTGTCTAAACATAATAATTTAGAAGAGGTCTTCAGAAAAATGACATTTGACCAGTGACCCGAATGGCAATAAGCTGCCTATACTTAAACTTGGGAGAAAGACACTTTTAGGCACAAGGAATGGCAAGTAAGTCTCTGAAGTTGAAACAGACTTGAGGTGTTTAAGGAACAACATGAAAACTAATGAGGAAAGCAGAGGAAGAATGGTCAGGAATGAAATAGAAGAAGCCAGAAGTCATATTGCATAGGACTTTTAGAGTCCATTTTGAGGCATTTGGATTTTATTATGAAACCTGAAGTAATATAATATGTAACTAGTTTAATTCTATATAAGTACCCAGAAGGAATTTTAATACAGATTTAATTATTGCTAGGTTCACCTTTTTCCTTTATGTATATATTTTAACCTTATACTCAACAATTGTTGACTTACATTTCTATAAAAGAAGTAAATGTACAGAGCAGGAATAGGATTAGACAGAATCAAAAAAAGTGAGGAACCTTTCCTGAAGATGTTAGAATGGCTCTGTTTACTCACGGAAGATAAAATATTTTTTGCAATCTAATTAAGTTCACATTTTAACAGTACTATTCATTGGGTGTCTCCATTAAGGTTTGACCCTGGCAGTAGGATTTAAAAGTATTAAAGCCAGTCAGCCGGGAACAAGAAGCAGTCAGAAAATTTGAGTTGTAAAGATATTAAGGCACCCTGGAGCCTTATCACCTAAGACACACTAAGCGAAATGAAAGCAACTCATAAAACAAATTTTGAAATACATAAAGGAAGACACAGAATTTGTCTGAGGACATGGTTCAAGTACTTAGAAAGTTAGGTGTTTTGCTGAAGGGCTTTTTTTTGTAGAGTTGGTGAAATAAATGGCCATAATGATTATTGGGTGGCAGATGCTACTGGTATGGGGAAAATTTGAACATATTTAAAGTTGATGAGTAATGATGTAGTTAATACTAGATGTAGGGGAGATCTGCATAGATATAACTTGTTACAGGTGGAAAGCTGTTGAAGGCAGAAATTGTTGAAAAGATGTATCATGAGTTTGGTGGTACTAGGCAAGAGGAAATAATTCTTGATGCAGACATAGAATATAGGATTAGAATGAGAGAAAGCTTTGAGGCCTTCAGGAATTTGGTAGGTAAAATATCTAGCTTTTAGGAGGTATTCAGTACCCTCTATTGCAGGGGTCCCCTAGGCCATAGACCAGTACCCGTCCATGGCCTGTTAGGAACTGGGCCACACAGCAGAATTTGAGCAGCAGGCGAGCAAAGGTTCATCTCTATTTGCAGTGGCTCCCTACTAGCATCACTGCCTCAGCTCCACCTCAGATCATCAAGCATTAGCTTCTCATAGGAACACTGGGACTAAAAAGGTTGGGGACCGCTGCAGTCTAATGTATATGTTTTGTTTTGGTAAAATATATTCTATGTAAATTTCACTATAACTTTTCTTCTATAGGATTCTGGAGTGAAGCAGATGTTACTCGACCTTTTGTCTCTCAGGGTGTAATCACAGATGGAAAATACTTTTCTTTTTTCTGCTACCAGTTAAATACTTTGGCACTTACTACACAAGCCGATCAAAATAACACTCGTAAGAATATATGTTGGGGGACACAGAGTAAGCCTCTTTATGAAAAAATAGAAGATAATGATGTGAAAGGTTTTAATGATGATGTTCTACTTCACATAGTTCACTTTCTACTGAATAGACCGAAAGAAGACAAATCACAGCCATTGGAAAACTAAGAAGAGACATTTGATTCAGGAATTCGGAAATATTTAAATGTCACTGATGAAACAATAAAAATATTTTTAATGATGAGACTTGTGACTGCCAAATATTAAATGCCTTAACTTTTGAAGCAAATATTTGTTATGTTAACCTGTGATTAGACCTCTCATTCTACACTGAAAGATTTAATTTTAGGTATATTATTGATTTAAAAGTAATTTGATTTATATATGACTAACTGATGAGACTAATTGGACTATCTTCAATGCCTGATAATACCTGTGATTTTAAAAGTAATATAAGGGCAGTAATTCAAATGCTTGAGAATATATATGTTTTGTTTACATTTTTCTTTTTTGTTTTTAATATTTTTGTTAATAATATAATAGAATTTTCAAAGTCCTTTCAAGCTCCTCTAAAACATGAACAGCATTTTGCAAGTATAGGAAACTGAGGCTCAGAGGAGTTAACAGATGATTAATAATCCAACTGATGAATTTATGTACAACTTAGGTTCTTAGCACTTAGAAGTAATGTTAACATATTTCAGCTAGTGACATTTGCTCTGTCCCAAAGATTAACAAATTAAGTTTGCTGTTTCTAAAACAGTTATCAGTTGTAAAATTGTTAATCTTGCAGAGAATTAAATTTCATTCAAAACAATTTTTAGTGAGAAAAAAATGTTTCTCTTTAAAAATCTTTCATCTTTAACTGCATACAGTGTGGGTTTTTGTTTTAATTGTCAACGATAAAAGGGAGAGGGGTTATAAAACATCCACATTTCAGATTCTATTGAAAATTGTAAGATCTGGCAACTCTAGTTTTACATTCTTGCACGTTAACAATAAATAGGAACTGGAAATTATTCTGGGTCTCTTTATAGGAGACATACTCTCTACAGTTTGTCACAGTCTCCCACGCCTTTATTTCTCCTCTCTTTACTTGGTGAACATCACCTGGCAAAGCTCACTAATTTCTGTTAAATGTTTTGTTCCTGAGACACCAAGTTTATGACCCCTGAGGTCCAAATTACTTTAAGAACTTATATTATTGGTGACAAAACTCAACCTTTACAGTTACTTTTTAGGCTTTAGCAATCTCATTTTTCTAACAACAAACATAGTAATGATAAATTCAGAAGAATTCAATTTCACTTGAGATAATTAAATCAAAGAAAACTTAGTTTTTGAGTTAGAGGATGTCACTATCTGGCAAAATACATGAACTTCTGTTCTCTTCCTCTTCTGCTACATGAAGGGCAAAGTGAATCCTTATTTGTTTTGTTTTGACAGTTTACTTATGAGGTTGGGAGAAACTTTGTTCATTTTCATAGAACCAAAGTTGACAACCAGAAAATATTTTGACACTACACTGGGTATTTAGTTTCCCTTTCTACCCTAACTCAGATTGTCTACAGCATCACACTCCCCAGTTGTGGAAGGAGGGTTGGGATGCTCTTAAAGGGTTGAGCCTTTGTCAGACTAGAGAAGGGGCCCAAATGGTGATTCCATACTGGCTGGAAAGCTATGAGGTAACCGTCTTTTTTTTTTTTTTTTTTTTAAGGAAGAGATACCTTCAACCTCTGCTTCCCTAAATGGTTTACGAGATTATTTGGAAACATCTATTTGAAAGCATTGAGAGCTAACAAGGTAGTGAATAATTGCCAGACTGATATCTGGAAGAAAATAGGTGTGCCTAGTATTGGGCTTTTCTTTTTCTCTGGAGGAGGCATTTAACTAAGTAGAGACTAAGAGACTGAGGAGCATTTCATCAGCCTTGTGAGACTAGAAGGACAAAAGTTAAAATATAAGACCTCCAGGGTTAGAACTCCCTTAGAATAACTTAGTTTGAGACCCAGAAGGACCACATCCTTGGGGTAAGGGTGAATCAGGAGTAAACCACAGAATGTGGCGTAGAATTGAGTCACTTAGATAGATCAGAAAAATCTGAAAATTTAAAAGTAGATTAATGTAACCTGAGATCTCTAATGCACTAGGAGTCTCAAAAATACAAATCTGGAGAAGGACATTTTCCTAGGCCTCAAATTATTTCTACACACACTTTTTCTAGTATAACATCTCCATATAATAAGTGAGCACGGGAGAAGAAACAGAAATGAAAACCAGCAGAAACAATAGACGAAAAATAGACTCAAAGGGGTACCAAATATTTAGATTGTAAGATAGACTTTAAAATTAATGTTTACTGTGTTCAAAAAGATAAAAGGTTGAAAATTGGAAACTACCAAATATAACTGCAGATTTGCAAAAGACAAATATAAATTTGAGAGCTAGAGAAAAAAGTTAAAATTAAAAATTCAGAACATTAGGAGTTCTGAATGGGAGAAAAAGGTGAAAAAGATTAAGAAGTACAAATTGAAAAAAAACATCTATTCAGCACTACATTTAACTGCAAACTTAGTTTCTTAGAACTGCAAATTTATCAATACACAGTTTCTATGTTTTAGGAGTGGAGGCATGGTTTAACTGGGTTCTCTGCTACTTAGTCTTTCATAAAGCTGCAAAGTATTGGGCAGGGACAGAGTCTTATCTGAAATCTCAGCTAGAGAAAGATCTTCAAAGTGATGTTGCTAGCAGGGTGTTGGACTGAGAGCCTCAGTTCCTTACCTGCTGTTGGGTGGAGGCAGCCTTCAGTTCCATGCCCTATGGGCCTCTCCAGTAGAGCAGCTCACAACACAGCAGCTTGGCGAGGAGAGCCTAGATAATCTGCTAACAAGACTACTGGTCAAAAGCCACGTCATCATGTCCAGTCTACCAAGGAGAGGGAATTATACAAGGGCATAATAGGAGGAGGTGCGGATCATTGGCCATCTTAGAGTCTGCCCACCAAAAGATTGTAAACAAACACAACTGAAGAGAATTACTGAACTGAAGAGAGAAAATATCCACAATGAATATTATCATCATGAACTTTGTCTTCATAAATTTTATTACTCTGCCATCACTAGTAAGGGGAGTTGATATATACTTACGCCCAGAAACAATGGGAGTAGTGTGAAGTGAGGATGAATAAGGATACATATTAATTGAATGTACAATCCTAGAAATAAGGAAACTGTTAGG